AATATTAGCCGATATTATAAGACTTCTTGCAACTGGAAGAGACTACGGTATTTCATGCGTTTTCTGGCTTGTTTGCGGTGACGCGACAACTGAAGGTCGCTGCACATGCTTAGCGATGGCTCCTCGTGCAAACGGGTTCCGAATGTAGGCGGATTACGTAACATCCGAACGGGCGCGAAATGTGTATGTAAACGCGATCAAGCTGGCGAACACGTGGTGATCGGCAGACGTGTCGAAAATTGAACAAAGATACATATTCAAAAGAAACGAATTTAGTTCTCCCTTTTCTTTTTAACACTGACCGTACCGAGAACCGATCAAATGACTGGATTTAAAATTCTAGGTATCATTTCGTATATGTAATTTTAATATCAATTTAATATCAATTCTCTATTATTCGATTACTCAGTTTGTCAATTCTTGCCTTTCCTTCTGTGTCTGTTTTCAATACAAAACATTTATCATCTGCCTTGTTTATCTGTATTTTACAGCCAGTTATTTGACTGGTTACGGCAGAAAAAGTGTCGGTACGGTTAGTGTTAAATTATAAACTTCGAGTTTGCAACAAATTGTTGACTCTCACTTGTCCACGAAAGTATTTCAAATATTAAGGGAATTATTAACCTGATAGAATCAATTTAGTTTCAATGTATATCGCTCGATTTCAATGAAATTTATGCGCAACTCGTGTATGCTTCATTCAAATTCTCACGAAACGTTGACCCACACTTGTCCATAAAACTGTTTAAATATTAAAGAAATGATTAACTTAATAAAATCATTTTAGTTCATATGTGTATTGTTTCATTTTAGTGAAATTTCCACATACAGTTCACATTGTATGCATCATGCATGTAAAAATTGACGATTAATTGATGAAGAGACATCTGCTTAACATGCTTGCGAAGTGTTGAGACATTAGAATTATTTTTTAAAATCACGTCGACTTTAAAATAATATTTGAAGTTTTATTTACAGTTTCATGCTTTGTGACATGGAAAATGTATTTACAGATATATATTTATGTAGATTGTTAATTATTAATCGACGTGATCGTATAATGCACTTTTGTCCAGGAAAAGCTTGTTTAAAAATAGATTATATAACATAATATTTTGTAATACAATTTCTTATTCTTAGAGGAAATTTCAAAAATTGATTCTGCACGCTAAAGTATAACAAAAATCAAGAGTGATGAAATGTTGGTTTCGGCTTGGTTTTCGAGTAATTGACGATCCAATGTTTCTTTAAACTAAGGTGGGTGAATAGTGGCGCGCGTGAGGCAGGTCAGTAATGCGAACAGTGCTCTAGATGCGAAAGACGGAGACTCACCGACGCACAATTATTGACGGATTTCAATCGTTGGTACCTTGAAAACGAAGCCGAGACTGCAATTCAGATTACTTGACACGAAAATTGCAAAAATACATGTTCATCTAAGCAGTTTTCCAAATTAAATTCTGCTGTGTGTGTTTATCAAGCAATTTTTATTTCCTTTCTTCAATGTTATCACTATGATTACCGACTCAGTCGAACATGAACATCATACATTTTGCGCACTCTAGAAAATTAATGTTTATAACAGTGATTAAAATAAACCAAGTTTCTAGGTTCCGAATTCTACGGGATATTTTGCTAATCCTAAGATCTAATTTCTCTTAATTGCATTCTATAATATAAATCACTAATATTTCTGAGTTTATTATTAATTTTTATGATTTTAAGTGAATCAAATTTCAACGACCGAAACTTTGCAAAACTCACGGATGATTAAACAATCTTATAGCCCACTGTGCGATAGACTGACATTTCTTCGAATTTCTTTATCAATAGAAATGATCATTTCTATTAATTTCTGTGATTTTAAGTGACACAGATCCCATTGAGATGAATTTTGCAAAACTCACGGTTGATTGAACAAACTTACAGTCGATTGACATTGTGATATAAATATCTAGGGTAATATTAATATCCGTATCTTGGATTATCGCGGTGCATCGTAACGACTCCCAGGATCATCGAAGAATGTTCCGATAAACGCGGATAGCGTCATTGGTACGCCCGCATGACTATGTCTTCGATCCAATAGATACTTTCACCGCTCGTTTCGCGCCAATAGATCCCGGCGCAAATGAAATAAGCCATAATGGATCATGATGAACGTCTTCCTGGCCAGAACCCATTTCATTCCGGTGTCGTAAGTCACATACGAGAAATTCCATTTTCCCTTTGTTTCTTCGGATTAGGGATTTCGCACAGTCCGCCTCGTCTGCGTTCGGTAAACGAATCCTAATGAATGTAAACGACGCACGGACCGAAGATCCTCGACATGTTAATTGTGGGAAAGATGCATCCGTTCTTTATATGAGTTACCATGGTTACCATACGCTTTTCACGTAGTCCTAAGGAATCTTGAACAATAATAAGAACTGTTCGGATATAAGGGTCAAAAGTGCCCTTTAATCCCTTGCCCTGTGACTTTTTTCTTAATTACGCGCGTTACAACTACCTTATTGTTACCTCCTTGCACTTTAGAAGCTTTCCACTAGAAATACTCGATATACGACATTTTTTGAAACTAACTCAATGAGAGATCCCATTTAGATTGAGGAACAAAACTATTTTATTTCGATATTTCACATATTGATGCATTATACAAAGCTTAATATTAAATATCGAACTTTGTAATTTTGTTGTTTCTTGGAGTGCGAAGGGTTAAGAATTTAGTAGAGATACAAGGGAATTCTATGTTATTACTGTGCTTACAGTTGATAAATATTCAGAATTTGTAATGGAAAAAGAATATTCAATTTTAATTCAAATGAATGGAAAGGTAATTTTTAATTCGTTGATAATTAATGTTTTTGTTTTAACATTTGCAACTAGAATACATAATTAAAACCATTTTAAGAAAGAAAATTATCATAATGCGCATCACGCTATTACGATGAAATGATAGTAGTAATGATTATTGAGGAATTGTTATTACTTCAATTTTCATTCGTTGATAAATTAAATTAATACACTCCACCTTCTAAGGTGACATTTTTATTCTAAAAAATACTAGTTATTACACTATTCGTGAGTTAACAAGGTGATAAGGTACGCTTTTTAACGCTTATCAACACAAAAGCGTAAACATCGGAATAAACTATTTGTGAACGTATTCCGCTGTCGATATGATATCTGTTTATGTAATATAAGTGCTCGTACATTTAGTGCGTAACAATAAGTGTCACCGACTACTTTTATTTTGTACAGACGTTCAACTGTAAATTCGTAAAGAGTTCATTTTAATCATTAAAGTGGACGAATACATTGAACATTTATAATTTTCTATATTAATCAATTATATACGTCCATATTTCGATCACAATAAAAAACTAATACGTAAAATCCACAATCTAATTATCATAAAGCGAACGGAAAAACTATTATCAATTAAAGGTGGTTAGTTTAAAGGTTTAATATACTAGGTGCTTGCACAATTACTAACAATCAGCTATACGATAATATATAATACAACAAAAATATTTGCTATTTCATTGAAAAAAAGTATCTTCGTTTCTGTAAACGTATTGGAAGCAAAAGATTTGTTCACGTTGTTATGTTGTAAAATAGATTCAGTTTTTGTTTTCCTTCATTCTCAGATTGCAAAAATTGTGCAAATAGTTCCTGCTTAATGACCGACGGTCAGTGATTTAATAAACGCGAGCGTTTGTTATTCAAGGTGACAAAGTAGTGGACAAATTGTATGGCAAAGTGGTAAAATCGGTGGGTCTTCAAAATTTACATGTGTTAGCGTCGAGACCAGCAAGTATCGGATACCAGAGGCGATAAGAACTTAAAACTTGGCCAGGGTTGTACTAAGAAAAGTTTAATAATGTCATCAGTTTGTGCCTTTACTTTAACATTTTTCAATTCAATGGTACACAGGGTATATCGGTAATATTAGTAATTTCAGCGCAGTCCGAATAGTTTCAAATATTCTGATTTTTTCACTTTTATTTATTATTAATAAAAATCATTATCAGTTATTTTTCGTTTTTAAATTAAAGCACCTGTTTCTCAATAAAAAAAGAATCAATTTATAGTTTTTAATAATTTATTTTAACTTTTCGAACATTCGGTAGGCGTTGAATGCAAATTTGAAAGTTTCTTAGAAATTAAATTTTGTAAACGCAATCAAACTTTCAATTTTGAAAATTCGTTATGAGTTAACTGTGGAAATTATATAAAAGTTTCTCGTACAAAATGGTTCTATAGATGTTTCCAAATAAAACGATACAACTTTTGCAGCATTATAAATATTTGGATTCAGTTTTCATATAAGGAAAATTGTTCCATTTATTTAGGAAGCTAAAGAGTCAAGACAAAATTTAATCACAATCATCTTCGACGTTGTTCACTTGACGGTATCATCAAGCGCTGGTGCGCTGGAACTGTGAAACAGCTGTTTTCAGGTTGATAATTAAGCAACGAAAGTTGCTGTGAATTTATATTGTCGTAGAGTCACTTATAGGAATTAAAATTAAGTAGAATTCAACTTGAAAATGGAAGTATATTAACATTTGGTATACGAACGTTTATTGTACAGTTTATTCTATTGTTCCTAGGAAAATTGGTGTTTGTTCATTTAGATCTTGGAAATTAGAGATTTAAAAGTCGACAATTGGGTTACATATTCGTGTAATTACTTAAATCAAAATCGATGTAAATATTTATCAAATAATATTTATAAAATTCAGTGTGCATTATATTGACGCGTTTCGTAAATGTAGTGTTAATGAATGTTTCTTATGAAAAATAAAATAAAAGTACACTACAAACACTGTTGTATTTATATTTTATCGGTATCTAATAATCGTTGTGTAGTAAGTTCCACAATAAGAAGTAAGAAAGTTAGTAAGAAGAAATAAAGAAGAAACGAAGTACAAAGTTTAAAAAAGATTCGAAGTAATGTATGTACCTTCGTCACTGAAATTCGACAATTTTTCCAGATATCCAATTGGTAACAAGGAACTGCCATACTTCACACAATGGGTCCATGACATTCTTGACGTGGATATAGTTAAGAAAAATGAATCTCAACCAGTGCCAACGAATCTGCCAGAATCAGTTATATCATTAGAATTATTAGAGGCGATTCAGGAATTGAAAATTGATTATTCCGTGAAAGGTATTGACCGGCTGATTAGAGCGCACGGTCACACACTAAGAGACATTTTTAATCTGAAATACGGAACATTTGCGCGGATACCAGACATAGTTGTTTGGCCGAGTAAGTTTCGATAAAGATACCAATACAATTGTTTTATTTTTCTCTGAAATTATCCTCGGTAAGAGTACTTATCTTTAATTTAAACAAGTTTCTATTGTAGCCGTTCAGTTTAAAATTTCACTGATCATTTCATTTATCCGATCAACTCTTTGCTTCATAATATCGAGTAGGACTCGTTACAGAGATTTCAAACAAAAACAAATAAATGTTAATGTTAGTTTGCTTCGTTGTTTATTTGTCTTATTTCCGAGAAACACGAATATTTTTCTGTCTTTAATTACGTATGAAAAGATATTGGATCTGGACAAATTAATCTTATCCAGGGATAAATTATATCCTTTTTTTTCAACATCGATGTGCATTAAGAATGTATAGACTAATTTACGCCTCCTGCTATTTAGATGCAAAATAATACATTCCCCATGCAATTGTAGTAGCAGGTCAGGGTTACCCTAAGAATAACTACCTATGATACCTACTTGTATGGTATACAATTATTAGTAGGTGTGGTAGGAGTTCTCCGAGTTGATGAATAATTCCATTCTACTATTGTATGCGTGTATCGCTTTAAATAAATTATTTTCGCATGTGAACGATCTATTTGTAGAAATGAAAAGAAGTATCGCGGATAATGCAGGGTCAAGAGGAGACTCATAGCAAATGGCTCGCTAGAGCTGAATGTGCGTGTAAGAGTGGGCGTGCCTTTTTTCACTCTGACCTCTTACAATTATTAAATCTGCATTCCTTCCAGGGGACTTCTTTCCATCTCTGTACGATATGTACCTAGAGGCATAGCTAATTATGTAGAATTTAATTCAAACTGAAACAAGAGTGCTTTTAAAGTTTCATTAAAGAAAAAATCAAGTTGGCGAATAGAATGATTAAAAAATTATTCTAATAAATTAAATCGATTCATACAATTATTTCGTGAAGGTCGTTAATGGAACAAAATGTTTAAAATAGGATTTGTAAAGATCCAAAAGTTGTGTTAAGTCAAACACAAAACTTGATTTGATGTTTAAGTTAATTCTCTTAAAGCATTGAAAGTATAATTTGTTTGTTAAGAATGTTTGCATAATGTTTATTGTACACTTAAAATGTAAAATATTCTTAAATTTTTTTTAATTGTATAGAATTTTTAATACTTATTCATTATATTTTTAGAGTGCCACGAAGACGTTGTTAAAATCATTAAATTATGTACTCGATATGGATCAGTGTGTATACCATTTGGCGGTGGAACAAGTGTGAGTGGTGCATCGTCTTGTCCAACAAATGAACAGCGAACGATAATTTTGCTCGATACTTCACAAATGAATCGAATATTATGGATAGATAGGGAAAATTTAATTGCTTGTTGCGAGTCTGGAATCATTGGACAGGACCTTGAAAAACAATTACGTTTGCAAGGTCTAACATCTGGTCATGAACCTGATTCTTATGAATTTTCCAGGTACAATACAAATATTAAGTTTTTAATTTCTTCAAACAGAATCCTAAGTTAAACGACGATTTCCAGTAAGTGAATATCGTAGTAAAAATTCTGAAATTCTTATATATTATAAGTAATGATATGTAACTTTCTTTCAAATACCATTGATGTAATTGTTTCAATTTTTGGAAAGAATAGTTTAGGTGGATGGGTTGCAACAAGGGCAAGTGGTATGAAAAAGAACCGATATGGAAACATTGAGGACCTAGTTATACGAGTGAGAATGGTTACTGGTAGAACGGAAGATCATGAAATAACATTGGAAAGAGGTCTATTAGTACCTCGAGCTTCATGTGGTCCTGACTTTGACCATGTGATCCTTGGTAGTGAAGGGACTTTAGGTGTGATCACAGAAGTAACATTAAAAGTTAGACCATTACCAAAAGTAGTTAAATATGGTAGTGTAGTTTTCCCAAATTTTGAAACCGGTGTAGCAGCATTACGCCAGGTAAGAAATGTTTGTAACGTTGCTTCTCCTGTAATTTAGCGATAAGAAATTAATTATGTCTTACGTTTATGAATAGGTAGCCAAAGAACGATGCCAACCTGCTAGTATACGCTTGATGGACAATGAACAATTTCAATTTGGACAAGTTTTGCGACCAGAAACTGGTTGGGGTAGTTTGATTTTACAAGGATTGAAACAAGCCTATATTACAAGGATAAAGGGTTTCAAATGGGATCAGATATGTGTGGCTACGTTGCTATTTGAAGGTAGTACGGCAGCTGAAGTGGCGATGGAAGAACAAAGAATTTATAAAATTGCCAAAGAACACAGCGGAGTGCCGGCAGGGGAAACGAACGGTGAACGTGGTTATCTCCTAACATTTGTTATTGCCTACATACGGGATCTTGGTTTGGAATACTATGTTTTGGCGGAATCGTTTGAAACGTCAGTTTCTTGGAATCGTACGTTATCGTTGTGTAGAAATGTGAAATCGCGCGTGGCTAGAGAGTGTTATAAGAATAAAATTGAACACCATTTCATTTCTTGTCGTGTAACACAAACTTATGACGCCGGGTGTTGTGTATACTTTTATATGGCATTTAATTATCGTAATCTTAAGAACCCTGTTGAAACGTATGAAGCCATTGAACACGCTGCTCGCCAGGAAATACTTGCAAGTGGTGGTTCTCTGTCTCATCATCATGGTGTCGGTAAATTACGTTCCTGTTACTACTCGGACGCTGTGGGAGAAGTGGGAGTATCATTATATCGAGCAGCCAAAGCACATCTAGACCCACACAACATATTTGCAGCTGGAAATTTAGATCCAAAAAGTACATCGAAACTGTGAATCGAGAACCAACGAAGTGCGCTATAATTGTTTGAAACTTACAACATTCTGGGGATCAGTTTTAACTTGGGATAACTAAAATTCTTCTTAAGAGGAATCCAGTAATTAATAAAGACAATCGGTACTACGGTTTACCGAGACGTTTCAATGGTATATAAGCGGTGGTAAAGAAAGAGACTAGTATTATAATATATAAATAAATATGCACCCTGGTGTTATTTGGTACAAATACGGAATTGTAATTGTATCGACGTTTTTATAAGTTATTATAAATAAACAAGACTCGCTTACTTATAGTACATAATCAATTAGCAACTTATTTATGCGAGTTTCTTTTTTCTTAACATGTAGTTCTTACATTGTTTTCCTTTTTTTCTAAATAGAAGAATATTTATTATTTTCAGTCCATGAATTTAGGGGAATCCTATAATTGCCATTATAGATTCAGTTTTTAAATATACAATTTTGCAGAATAATTATGTTCAGTGAAACAGACTGTTTAAATTAAAAGCTCACTGGTTATCAGCCTTTAATGTGGATAAAAATGAGTCAAAATCGTATTCGTCATCATATTGTTGTTGCTCCCATAATTCAGGAAGAATTTCTAAGACAGAACGACTAACACCTGGAACTCCGCTAATTTTAGATGCAGTCTCTCCTTGTTTGTCTGGCCTCTTTCCCTTGCCATTGTCTAATGAGAATAAATCCAGTAACTGTAAAGAAAAAATATGAACCCCATTTGAATATAAAATTTGGATTATTTCGATAAGTTATATTAGAAGAGTGATCTGCTTGAAGTGTTGCAGGATTGTTTTTTTAGAAATTAAAGTGCTTGCCAACAGAGCTGTTATCTTGTAACATTACGTATGAACGAACCTATATTGACATTTTAATAAAAAGTTTAATTACTAGTTGTTACCTGATCGGTAGCCATTGTTTCTAAAGAAGCATTCTCTGTCGAAATCACAGTATTTGCTGTGAGAAGTTTAAATTTCTGAAGTCCCATTATTTTTTCTTCTACCGTAGATCTTGTAATAAGCCTGTACACATTGACTACTTTTTTCTGTCCAATACGATGTGCTCGATCCATTGCTTGAAGATCTTTCATAGGATTCCAGTCGTGTTCCACAAAGATAACAGTATCTGCACCGGTTAAATTCAATCCAAGTCCTCCTACTTGAGTTGTTAACAAAAGTACATCGATCGATGGATCAGCGTTGAAACGAGCCACTACGGCATGCCTTCGAGTTGCTGGTATACTTCCGTCAAGACGAAGGTATGTAACTGTTGGTAGATGCGCGCGTAGAAGATCCTTCTCTACAATATCCAACATTGCCTTCAACTGACAAAAGATTAAAGCTCGATGTTGACTGACTAATTGTTGCTGTTGAGGTGGTTGATTATCTGGTATATTGCCAGTAGATACAGAATTACGGTTTTGTTGTTGTTGCGGTTGTCCAATTCCACAATCTAATAGTAACTGTTTCAGTGCTGGCAATTTAGCTCCATGTTCTATTTCAGCCAATGTACTCTTTTGTTGTTTCAGTGAATTGCATATCTAAAAATTTGTGTATTAGTAAGTACTATTGCAAACGATTAGCTGTAACTTGCGACACTGTGGTACATACCGTCTGATATAATGGATGTCGTGGATTTAAAACTAATTTTGGATGATTACAAACATTACGTAGATATCGCAATGCTTCGAACACGTGACCTCCTTGAGGATCGCCTGGAGATGAAGTACAAGATGTAGTAGACAAGAAAGTGGCAGAATGTCTGCTACGAAAGTCTTCGTATAATGTACGTTGCAGAGGTGATAAATCACAATAGTAGTCTTGAGTAATTTTAGGTGGTAAATCTTGAAGAACATCTTCTTTATTTCGCCTCAATAGAAATGGCAATACCTATCCAGAACAGGGTAGACTTCTGGTTATATACGAATATACTTAATCATTAATGAATATAAAAATGACAGAAAAATTACTTGTCTGTGCAGTGCTTCCATAGCTAAAGCACCTGCTTCTTGTTCTTTTGGTCCGGCTTTTGGTTCTCTACAAGCTAAAATAGGACGCGAATATTTTGCTGCAAATTGTTTCTCAGTGCCCAGAAAACCTGGCATTAAAAAATCAAATAAGGACCATAGCTCAAGCACATCATTTTGAACCGGAGTTCCTGACAGTATAAGCCTATGATTGGCGTGCAATCGTTTCGTCGCTTTTGCACTTTTTGTCTTTCCATTTTTTATAACATGACCTTCGTCGAGTACACAGTAATTCCATTGCCACGTTTCAAAGTAATCAATATCTTTGCGCACTATATCGTAACTTGCAACTACCAGTCTATGGAAATTAATTTTCGGACGCAGTTTCTCACGATCGGGTGGTGTGCCGGCATATTGCAAAACTGAAAGATCTTTACTTTCAAAGAATTTCTCTGCTTCGTATACCCAGTGACCGGTTAAAGTCGGCGGGCACACTACTAGACTTGGTGGAGCATGAGGGTTTCGATGATGATCTAATGCTAATATACAAAGAGTTTGTAACGTTTTTCCAAGGCCCATGTCGTCACATAAGACACCATGAAGTCGATAACGATTTAAGAAGTTTAACCAATTCAGGCCTTGTCGTTGATAAGAACGTAACTCTGCTGCTACAGGAATTGGTAACTCGGTATCTGGAATACTGCGTGGATTTAAAAGTTGTTCTAAGAATCGTCGCTCCTGAGCTTTTTTCTCCCTGAAATACACTTAAAATTATACTGACGCATTAAAAATAATTACGTCCCTAAATGTAAATTAAATATTTTCAACTTACACTAGATCTGGCGGATCAGCTATTGCACCGGGATCAAGGGGTAAAAGTTGTACGAGGGTTGCAAACGTTGCACTGCAAGCTAGTCTCACAGCTTGATTTTGGTCACTCATACGTCCAAGTAAAGGAACCATAAAAAGCACAGCGTATGCTACAATATTAACACCTAAGCTTTCAACAAGACAAGTTAATGCTTCAGCTGCACCTTGCCTTATCGAGTCTACTTCACGTGGAGCTGTTACGGTCGTCGAATACAATTTTTCGCCGCCAGTAGCTTCTAAAAGTGGTATTACATTACGTGTGATGTATATTATTACCTGTAAGAGATGATACAATGATAAATAAAGTAAGCATTATATTAATAAAACTGAAAATTAAATGCTAATGTAATAAACTAACAATAAGAACGTTACCTTTTTTGTATCTAATGTAGCTAACACAGACATACATCGTGCAGCCATATGTCTAACAGCTTTGTATGGATGAGCCAATAATTTACACAAACATGGAAGGCAATCTAGGACAGGAGGTAGTAAAGCTTTATGGAGACTTGGAGTCATAACTTCTAAAACTTGTAAACCAGAAATCAACTGATTCACTTCTTCTTGAGAATTTTCACATCCTGTAATCCTTTCTTCTTCCCGTAATATTTTTGGGAGAATTAATTCCCATAAATGTGGTAGACGAGTTGGTAATTGATCACCAAAATGAGTAGCTATAAAAATAAATTAATACAAAATACATCCAAGGACGAATCGGTCGTATCGTCGGTAATATAAAGAAGACGCTAACAAATAAAAATAAGAAATAATAATGATTATGTAGAAATCTAACCTATAGCAGTCAGTGCCAAAGTTGCTCCACGACGACGCGTCCTAGCTGCTTTTGCTTCAGGTTCTTCGCAAGCAAGAAGTTCTTCCAAAGGAATTTCAGTAGTAGGCGGCCGACCTGGCCCTCTTCCTCCACCAAGTCCACTATTTGCTCCTCGATTATAAGCTATTCTTTCTGCGTGTTTTTGTCTATTACTTAAAGTAAGGATTCCATCAAAAAGGTCTGTATCAGTTTCACAATTAACGCGAGGCGTAAACTCAATATCAGAGCACAAGGATGTACATAAATTGATCGATATCTGTAATAACAAAATTACCATTACTGACATTTAAAGGAAACTCAAATTAATTGAATTTATTTATTATGCGCTTTATTTGCTATATGAGTATTAATTAGCGAAGAATCACATAGATGTAATAATAAATTTCAGTTTTTCTATATACCTTTGCATTAGGAGATGGTTGTCTATCTAAACAAAGTTCAACTAAGTATGACAAATGTTTTGCGGCTAGTTTCTGTAGTTCTTCATTTTCCTCGCGTTTAATAGCTTCCATCAGTGGCTTTACTAATGGATTAAGAGGCTGCGGAGATGGAGGAAGGCAATGTAACATTGTAGCAGCACCAGCAAGTGCCGACATTGACATAACATTGTAAGCAAGTTGTTGAGCTGCTGTATCATTAGCACCAATTTCCAGAGCTTTTCGTCTTTCTTTTAAACTTTCTATCACCTTTGGCTTTAATTTAATTGTGTTGGAGCTGCTGCCGATATTTCCACCGGGTCCCCCAGAACCTGTAGCATTGCCCATGGCACAAAGGTCTGTAATTGGTTTTGCAGTAAGGTTCGCAATTTGATCTAGAGTCATTACTCCCGATGCATCTGTTTCGATAGGAACAGGTAATTTATAATGTTTGAGAGTGGCAATGTAATCACGGCTGTCGTGTAATAGTCGAGTGAAAGATGCGGCGATCTCATCATAGTATACACATTCGTTTAAACACCCCAAGAGCTTGTCCCTTTTAAGCAAATACATCATTATTACATTATACTAAATAATAATCAAATAAAAAAACTCATCTCTGTACCTGAGTATGTCTGGTATTGTCGGTGGTTTATCATTTACAGTCGCCCAATGAGACATGGTCAGTCCAGCGATAGTGCGTTGCAACGCCGAACGTGAATTCAGGTGTGCTAGTAATACTTTAGCATAACAAAGTGCCGGACTAGGTATATCTGGTGTATAGGTGACATATGGAGCTGGTTGCACCACATAATGCGACAGCAATCCTAACATGCGTGCAGCTCTACAACGAGCTTGAATTACGTTTGATTTCCTTATATTCTGAGCTACAGTCTCGATCCCACCAATATAAACTTTCAATTCAGACATCGATTTTACATTTCCAGGTGTGGCGTTATTTCCACCATTGTTACTAGTGTCTGATTGTCCATCGCAGGCACTAATAAACTGATTGCTTTTACTACCTTTGTTAAGTGAACTTATTGTCATTAATAAGTTAGGATTAAATGGCACATGTTCCGGTTGCATAGCAAGGCAAAGCCATGTGCTAACAAGGGGACATGCTGCGTGCAGTAACAATTCGAGATCGCTCTGTACGACTAGATTCTCCCACACACGTTCAGCTACGTCTTGTATGGCAGTTACGTGTTCAATTAGTACACGCTGAAAGACATGACGAAGTGCATCCTGTAATACAGGTCCACCTCCTTCACCCCATAATTCTTTTTTGTTCTCATTCTGTGCTCCATCATCTCCGGTTAATGTTTGCAATGTTTGTAAAGTTGCTTTGCGTACACTTGAACTAGAGTGACTGAGAAATGGCCATAATCGTGGTAAAACCTACGATTAGTTCATTTTACATTAATGATTTTGGTAAATACCGTATAAAGAATAAAATGAACTCAGGTATGTGTTGGCTTATACCTGTGATAATGGCTGTGGTGTAAGACAAGCACGTGCAGTAGGTAATGAAAGTATAGCAGCTAATAGACCCATGAAGCTATTACATGCTGCTGCTAGATCGTCTTGTTCACGTAGAAGTTCCCATAAACGAGTTACAATAGCTTCTAATTCTGATGGTTCTAATAATCTCGGGAGAGCAGAGGCCACTGGTATGAGTGCACTAGCTGCAGCAGCGCCTACGTCATCAACTGGATCAGCTAGGCCTTTCATGGTGGCAGGGAAAATCCTTGGTAGTATGTCATCTAACAAATCATCTCGAACGGCAAGCAAATATTTTAGTGCGAGTAACGCACCATGCCTTGCTTCCCATTCATCGTGTTCTAAAAGCTTCAATATAATCGATATGATTCCTATAATATCTTTATTTTTATTTTCACTATCTCTTTGATTTGGCACTAGTAACAATAGAGAACCTAGTGCTTGGGCACATGTTTCACGCACAGGCGCAACAACTTGATCAGAAACAAAATCTCCGAAACGATCTAGTCCTAAGACACACAATAGTCGTAGCGCAGCATCAATAATCCATTGATGATGACTTTCTTCCATTTCCTCTGCAGTTTGTTCTCTTGATTTGCCTGCGCCTATATCATATATTAATAAACATTAAGTTTTCCCATTACTTTTTACTAGTAAATACAGGATAATTCATAAATACATGTCCATACTTCAGGAAGAAAATCTACACACTAAGGCAAGTAAAAAATGTCATAAGAACATATGCCAATATACCTTAGTTTTCGAGTTATGAATGATTAATGGAAATGTTCGAAATGTCCATTTCTTACCATAATACATGTTTCTGAATGCCTTAATACGTCTTAATCGTATTTAATGTTTACAAACAATATCCATCGATATGAAGCGAGTGTACGCATTCATTTTGCCGCTTTAGAATGATACTGAATTCACGAGAACACACTCTTTACTCGAAGCTTCGTCTACATCATATCAATGGATATTGTTTGTAAACATTTGATACGATTAAGACGTGTTAAGGCATCCAGAAGTGTGTATTATGGTAGAAGACAGGCACTTTGAACATTTCTTTTAATCATCCATAACTCGAAAACTAAGATATATCGGATATGTTCAAAATAGGACAGTTTTACTTGCTTTGGCATGTAGATTTACCCCTTGAAGTACCGACATGTATTTATGAATCACTCTGTATAATTCTGTGTACCTTTTCCATGAAACTTTACAAGTTCTCGTAAAGCAGTTGCAGCTCCATGTCTTACTTCCCATTTCTGACTAAATAGGTCTAGACGAAGATTTTCAGCAAATGACTCTAAAGGCCAGTCTATTGCAGAATCAGGCCAACAACCAGTACTATCTGGTACTCCATTTGTTGATTCAGTCTGTGTATTACTGTTGGGCATGTTTGTATCTGCTGAGATTACTTTTTCTAATTTTATTTTTTTACATAACGACTCCCCTGTACTATTAGTGGGAGATTGAGCATTTGAGTTACTGTGATAGTCTTCATTGCTACGATGATCATCTGGTTCTCGAGAACGTTGCTTTGAAACTGATTGTCGTGCCTGTATTCAAGAAGTTTTAATATATAAAATCTATTAAAACTATGTCTTGTATAATAATATTTGGATAATGATATCATACATTACCTTACGTCTAGCTCTGTTTATTTCACGCCTACTCAGTCCACTAGGTTGTTTCAGTGTTTCACCTATAGACACCTTTGCTTGTGTATTCGAGACAGGTGGTAACACTAGTGGTGTAAGATCTTCAGCAGTAAATAACTCTGATGTATCAACACCCATTAACTGAGGATGCAGACCTAACTTAGCAGCAATCAGTTTCTCTTCTTGATTGGAAACTGGTACTTGTTCTCCGTCAGCATTAATTAAATCATATTCACTGCCTTCTGATCCAGTTAAGTGTGAACTACATGCTAAAACTTTTTCCATATCAAAGTCTGCCAAGTTTAATCTATTATTTGGTGCATGTTTTTTTGCTTCTTCGTCTATTATTAATTAATAAAATTGATTAATCAATAGTTAAATATATTGAATTTTGTATTAACAAATAACATAAAATAAACAACCACCTGTTTTAACTTCTTTTTTAATAGGTTGTGGATCCCAAGCAGGAACTTGAGCTAATATAGCTTGTACAGCCTGTGCAGCAGAAACTCTTGTATCCCATTGTGGAGATTTTAACAGAGTAGAAACTCTTGCTAATAAATGATGTAAATCGTGAGGATGTAATTTCTGTGCTTCTCCTAATTGTTGTGCGGCAGCCTTTTTTGTTACCGCATTTGTTCCTGTTTCCAATAATATAAACAATCTATCCAACCTATAAAAGACAATTTAAATTATAAAATAAATTATTCACTTATTAGAATATGTTATAAACAGTTAAACAAATAATTATGCAGTGAGTACAAATATATATATTTTTTTCAATTCTTTTAATTTCTTACACACAAAGTTTAAAGAGTTTCAATTTTATACACGTGTAATTAAACAAATTTTTCAATTGAAAACAACATCATTATAGCTGTACAAAAAATTAAATATCAAAATTGTATAATGTTTTACCTTGATGTCATGTTTATAGGTGATACTAATTCAGGAACAACTGTGAATACCTATAATCAAAATAAATACATATGTGGTATACGTTTTTATAAATTCTGTAAAATCCAATATTTTTGAACAATAATAATATAATTATCATAGTGTTTGTAAACAATTGTTATTACGGTTATAATGAAAGTGTTTTTACAAAATAATGGTACATTGCTTGTAAAATATATTTTTCTTATGTTCTTATTTACTATAAAAATGCTATAGGAAGTGTATGAAAGACTCCAGCTGTGCAAAAGTAAAATGGAGAACAAGAAATCTTAAAATTATTTATATGTTTGGTATTGCTTTTTTGGTGAAAGTTGGTAATGATTAACATATCAAAACTTAATTGTCAAAATCATATACGAAAGTCTGTTACTGTTACGTTGATGAAGTAGAGATGAGAGATGACATCTGTAAGAACGCGTTCCTCGATCGGTCCAGGGTTTTGTAGAAACGGCTATTGTAAACTTAGATTATATAGAAGGAATCTTAATTATAGAAACATAAACACAATGCAATATTTAACTAGCTGTTACGGAGGAACGCAATATGGATATATAAAAATAAATAGTGATCTACGAGCGTCTAAACATACCTGATTTTAAAATATAATGTGTTTAGCTGTTATTCTTCAGCTAACCCGCATAGCCGTTTCCCACTGTATTGATTCTTCAAAAATCACATTACGCTGTATATTTTGGAAAAATCGACAGTTAGACAGACTATTTGTCAAATTTTTCGGAGAGAAGCGCATGTTACAAGCATCAAATTTATACTGACAGCCATATTGCAGGGGAACCTGACTTTTGTCCCCCAATTTTGCTCCTATTGGCGGAGTAAACGCATTTCACGGATCGATTGACCAATCAACGTTTTCTTCGTGCACTAATCGTATCAAATTGCGCATATAAATTATACCAATAAAAAAATCTGTATTTCTTCCTTTTTTTAATTGAATTTTTAATAAAACTCTCGGTAAAGAGTTACAAAGGTATACATAAGGTCCATATAAAGTTTTGCAATTACATTTGCTAGTATATAGATCCAGTTTTGTTAGGTTTTGTTTTTCAAATTTATGCTTCATAGAGTTTCCTCAATCTTTTAGTAATGGATATGGTATGATTTCAAATTTGCCATTGTTAATAATTGCTAATTGTTGAATGATCTTATGCACATTTGTTTTTGTGCATTGTACTGAAATGTATTGGGACTCTTTTCTGTTCTATCTAGGGTGGACTGAAGCTAGGGAATTCGATGTACTTTGCCTACACATATTCGAAGAGCGCGATATTTGTTTCAAAATTACAATTAGTATTGTATAATTTCAAAGTATTAAAAGTACTTGTTTATTTTTTAGTGAATATTACTCATATATTTCAGTGTTTGTTTATCTTATGTTTTTTTTATATAATTCCTGTAATATGATTTGTTGATCATTTCTTTTGCTTTATACATTTATATAAATAATTATTTACTACTGTTTTTATTTACAAAATAAAGCACTAAGCATAACATGTATATATTCAAGAACAAACTAAACTTAAATAAAGGTTAAAATATGAAAGGATTAATAAACTCAGAAAAAAGGAAAAATGAATAAAAAATAAGTGTTCAAATTTCGCGCTATAATTATATGCATGTATTTTTGTTTAACATATTTCCGATTTAGATGTTTACACTGTTGATACTCCACTGTTGTGTTAAGCCTACTGGCTTAATTGAGTTAAAATATTTTAAAGATATCACTTAGGATTAACAACTTGATAAAGAGTATTATAATGTTTGTTACAATTAAAAAAATTTTTTCAGTTGTTCTAATTATTTAACTACAGATATATGAATTTATGTGTGTGTACATTTATAGTGTCTTTGCTTGTTAAATGCCTTCTTTTAAAATTTAAAGTAATAAATGATTAAATTTGTTTAAGCTTGTTATAATACAACTACTGACTCCACATTGTTAATGAAATCAATGTTTTTTTTATTATAGAATATTATACTTCTGGTAGCATTATATGTTCATTGCATGCAATTTATCCTTAAATTAATTAATACCATAATATATTGAGTTACACATTTTAGGAATATTTATTTCATATTACAAGTTATTCATTTTCAAATTAATTAACTAATATAATGTATTCTATTTTGTTAGAATGTCTTCATTAATAATGTAGCATCCTAATGATACTTGTAGTTTCTGTGACCTCCTGTAAAGTGAAATATATTTTGTTATAACAGAATTTTTTAAAATATGTTAATTGAAAGTTTTTTAAGCAATAAACTTACGAATACGCAAGTAATTCAACATGTAAAATATTATCGATCCTCCAACAGCTAATTGGAAATATGGAGCTATTCCTGATTTTCTAGGATGTATATATTTGTGTTGCCAACGCCAAAAACCTATAAATCAATAATAATTTGTAAGGTATAATAAAAGAGATAGATTGTATTAATTATATATAATATGCTTAAATTAAAACATTCATATCAATGATAATAAATTCATAGCTAATAAGAAATAATTTGAAAATTATGTTCATTTTATTTACCACTACATTTATAATATTCTGTTAATAAAGTTATATATTTAAAAGCAATAGTTGATCATAATTAGTAAGTAATAGAATATAAATGAAATGATAGGAGAGTCAGAAAGAGAGGGGGAGGAAGATTCTGAAGTCAAGTAGTTATGCAATTTTTAAGGTATAATATAGCCATTTTGTCATAATAAATACCTCGTGAACATAAAGCCATAAAGGAACGAGGTCCCATATCACGCCGTGAAATCCATTCTTTCAGCTCACCAAGTTTCACTTGTCCGAAAGGTGTATCAGCTGCAAATACATAATTTACTTTGTAATTAACTTTCAGTCTAAAGGCTACCTATGAAGTCAAATAATAGAACCCACGTTTTCCATAGTACCGAGCCGGGTCATATGGACCATGTTTTGCTCGATCATATTCTGGAGGATATTCACCAATTCTTAACATAATTGAAAATTAGTAGGCAGAACGAAAGTACAATCCTATCGTGAAATACTCGTTTTGCCAAGGAAGAAGCAGTACACTGACCAGTGATATTGAATAGGTTACTGCGGATGTATAGTAAGCAACTTTGTATGAAGAAAATCCCTATGACAGTAAATTGCTATACTTACTTCATGGTATAAATCCCTTCCTCAATTACCCATAAGAAACTAAAATATTATTAATTTCAGAAAAATATTTTCATTAATTTTTATTTACAATTCTTTTAGTAAAATATTTAAATTATATTAATATTAGTGTAAAATTAAACTAAAAATTAGTATTGAAAATTCTATAATAAGACAGTTTTGGAACGATTATGACTAATAGAGAAAATTTTGTTTTGTCACAGAAAAATTAATCTTACTTTTAAAGTTTTTATAAAATTGATTATTTTGAAATTACATTAACGAAACACCTTCATTCCAAAAATTTCATGAGACAGACACATATACAGGATGTTTCACAAAGAATAATAGGAATTGATATACTGCAAAACCATGTAAATATCTGGTGATTCTAGTGAGAAAAATGATTTGAGGTCACCTTACAGATTATGTCAAGGTCATTCGACATATGCTTTACAATAATGTATTTTAGTATATGAAACGATAGAATTTGAACAGTTGACAATGTTTCTCCAGTTTGTTTATAAGCAAAAAAAGACTATAATTTCGAAAAACGAATAATTATTGTACACAAAACTGGAGAAGTAACTCAACATTCATTTTACATTATTCAGGTTACTTGTAAGTCATGACAATGATATGTGTCGATGAACTCGTTTTACTGTCATCTGTAACGTCATATTACAAAAAAATGAATATTAACTAGCTATTTCGCAAGCTTCGAGAAACTTTTTAACACTACTAGATGCTACAAAAATCATGTTAATTTTTGATTATTTTATTTATTTTCAACGAAAAACATTCAAATATTCAATACAAAATTATCCCTTAATATTTGTTTACATTCAGACTCTACTTACATTACATACAAGTAAAATAATATAGACTCGAGTAAAATAGAGTAAAATTAATACAGACTCTACTCTACTTAAAAAAGAGGGCATGCAAATAATAATTTGGGTTGATATATTTTAAGGAATCAATTTTTTATTTTTGAAAATAAGGTTTATAAATATTGCCTTCCATGAAATCACAAACAATACATAAAAATTGGCAAATGATTGCTTTTTGTTAAAAATGCTTCATTCAACCCAGTGAGTTCATTGAATTTCTGGCGAATTTGAAATTCGAAGTTTCTAGAAATCTAAACTTCCTAAAGTTGACATTGGATACTATATTCTAATGATAAAGGTTGCGGAATGGATTCCGCAATTTTATTGCGCTAAATCGATATTAATGTTATTAAGTAAGTGCCTCAAGCCGTACTGGCGTATATTAAAAGTAGTGACTCTTGTACTTTGGCTTCTATATAAGCGTATCGAGTAGATTTCAATATTCTGTAATAAGGCTGCTATTAAGTGAAAGTAGTTTATACTTGTGCTCGATGTTAATAATAATCGATGTTACTATCTTTTCCCTTATTACTATCACTAGCCTCTAATGGTCATTTATTTCCTTATACTTTTGAAGTACAAAGATCGTTCTTTTCCTTGAAACTATAAAAATCTATCGAATCTATAAAAAAATTCTTCGATCTATTATATTCTAACTACTTTGGATTCGAGGTGTGCTTATTATGCACTGTGTTTTATTTATACTACTGTTCAAAATTAATTTAAATAATTTTGAAAGGCCGGGACAACAAGCTCTAATAATCGATCTTTCTCATAGAGGCAATTCTGCAACTATGGAAAATCAATTCGCTTTTATCAGCATCTTATTCTAATCTATATGTGAATGTGTGTATTACATATAGTTGTATGTATAAATAATTATTTAAATTTTATCTATTTTCCATTAGAGAACCAAATAATTCGACTTTTCGTGAATTTAAATTAAATTTGAACGCAAAATTAACGTTTTTGTTGTTAATAATTTTGTTAAGAAAATAGTCAATTTGTTCCTTAACCGTTATTTGCAACATATTAAAATGAGACACTACGTACGGACTGTTCGTACTCTAAAGGCCACTTTAGATGAAACATTTATCTTCGGTGATTCGTGATTAACACTAGAACTAGTTAAAATTATTTCTTCGCGATATACATTGTATCACGTAAATGAAAACATCAATTTTTAAAGCAATTTTAGATGTAAAAATCCTCACGATTACAAAAAACACAACATTTAACGTTTTAACTCTCTTGTTGGAATAGTTCTAATATTAACAGCTGGAGCAAATTCGTTTTTTATTTGAATATTTCATGTTCAATTGTCTCATCGCGATGCTCCAAAGAATGGTGGCTCCGAGCATCATCGGAGCAACCAGTCACCAACCATTAACAGCGAATTTCGCCGAAAGAAATCCCAATGAAATTAATGTCTAGACAGAAGCGGCGATTTCCTGTTCCATTTCGTGTAGCATATTGTACAGTCGTGTTTTCAAGCTGTCAGGAACAGCAGCACGGGGCAAGTGCTCGATGTCGCCAGCTGGGTTCGCGCATTGCCGTAACAACACTGCCAAAGTGCTGGTGGTGTGCTCCGACATGAGTAGGCCGGGTATTATGATAGTTCCGGATAGAGTCCAACCGAGAAATATCTTCTCACACACGATCTAAAACATCATAAATACTTATGAACAACTTAGCTTTAATCCCTTGTAACCCGAAGTGTTCTTGACTTTTCACTCTGAGGCTTTTGACGTTATTTAATCCAACTATAGTTTAATATTGCGCACTAATTATTTATTTAAGAACACTTGGGAAGCACTGAAGCGGTATGCTTATAAGAAGCAATCATGATAATACAAATAATTATGGCAACTATTGTTAAAATAGTTTTAAAACAGAATTTTGAGAACGTTTTGTATAATGTTACTTATTCTTTTACAATAAAGGCAAATGGTGCTTGGGGTTAATTATTAATAATTCTATTATCTGGTTATTCGTGTAACGAAATATTTTGATTTGACAACAGTTTTCAAGTAATTTGAAAGCTCTTGTCATGGGTGACCACCGGTGGTCAACGTGTTAAATTCAAGCAATCATTGACTCATAAAACCCAAACTGTGTTGGTATCGCGACACTACCTGCAAATTATTGTTCAGCACAGGTGACTCGCATCGCTTGTTCTTCGAGCAGACCGTTCTGCAGTCGAAGTAGTCGCAGTCCTCGTGTCTCTTGCAGGCCTTCTTGTCGGACGTGATACGGCTGATAATCGTTTTAGGAAACGCGGCGTCCAGGTCGAGGAACTTGAGCTTCTGGCCGCCCAGCGGCAGACCGAAATGGTTTATCTTCACGTCGCACAGATGGATCGGCTCCGGGAAATTGGTGTCCAGTTCCTCGAGCAGGTCCAGTATCATCACAGCCAGTTTCAGACGTTTCGCCCATTCCGGTTTCGAATCGGATAGCGCGAGGACCGTCGTGGGCGTCTCGATAGGCCTTACGTACTCGACCGCGTAGAACGTACCGCACGTGCCAATCAGCTGCGGAAAAATGTCCCTGTCTTCGTAAAGGATGCTGATCAGGTACTCGTTCTCCTGCAGCAACGGCCAAAGGTTCTCCATCTCGAGCTGTCGCCTAGTCGGCTCCGTTTCTACGCGATGCGTCCGAAGACGCGTCAGCCTCTCTAATTGATGCCGAGCCAGCGTCACGTTCAACTTGCTGACGACCAGATCCCTGATCATGTTGCCGAAGTCCTCCTCCGATGGGAAATGCTTCATGCCGGACGCGTCCGTCCAGTAGAGCGACTCGAACTGCTCAGCCGTAGTCTTCGTTCTGAAATTTCAATCCATTTATTCGTGAACTTTTCTCTTGTGCTCTTTTAGTCCCTGCTGATCGGTTGATAACTTAACGATTCAACCTATGGAATACTTGAATCGACTGTTTTATATTTTCCCATACACGACAGCGCGTTTATCGGGAATTTCATTCACTTATATGTTAGTTTAAGAATCACTGAGTCTACACGTTTAATAATTTTATTTCTTGGCAAAGAATTGATATGTTTTCAACGATTGTAAAAGAAGAAATTTGAAGAGAACCATTTTGACACATTTGGAAATTTTAGTGTTAGTTGGCTGTACTAATGAAAAACAATGAAATTCGGAATAGTTCACCTGATGAATTGTTTTAAAGGATGAGAAATAGGTACCTACCTCACGTGGGGGACATTTCAAAATTCTATTCTTTTTTCCAATTGGCGTTAAAACAAAAAACTATTCAGCTGATCGGCTTACAATTTCAACATGTTTATTTTACTTTTAGGCTTTGGATAAGTGTATGAACTGAAATGATCAACGATGTACATATAACTTTTCAAACTTTCTTTATTTACCATACGATGATTTATGAAAATGTGAATCTACAATGATAAAAAATTCAAAAAAAAGAATCAAAACCATAAATCATTTTCCACACATAAAAAGAATCGTAAATTTTACCCACTTCAGAGGCTGTTTACGCGAGCGACCGAAGTTCATTACTCAATATACAGGGCGTCCCAAAAAAAAGTATAACCTGATTTTTTAAGCGTAGATAAAACGTTGCGTGAAAGCATTGGAAAGGATTCGAATGAAATTTTCATTTGAAATTACCTACTCCTTCAGATATGAATTATAAATAATTTCCTACCAAACATAAAATTTTACTTTCAACTTTCAGTGAATAAAAATAAGATCGTTATCATCTTATCTTACTGAACATCAGTATGGTACTATTATTCTTCGTTACAGACAAATAAATTTAAACGTCCAGCGCTAGAAGAACTTCCCCTTGAAAAATTTATTTAATACGAAAAATGTGTTACATTATAGGACGTTTGAAATAGATCAGGTTTTATTTCCCCATAGAGCCAGAAACACGAAAACGAGAAAAAACCCAAAAGTCTTGCTGCATCGTTCCAACAGGATTAAGTGTAACTGGAATGTAGATTTTCTAGTTGCTACTTTTATGGTAAAGGAAGAAAAAAAACGAACCTTGAAGCTTTGAATACTAGTCGCGTCGCTTCCCAGTGCGCGGAGAAAACAGCTTCTTTGCCGGCATGCAGCGTTTCGCACGCGAGCGAATGAATACCCCTTTCTGCGCATAGCGGGTCGCACAGAATTCCTATTGCGTCTCCTTTTCTGTGCGTACTGCACTAAAATTAAAATCATGATCAGCCGTTGAATGCACAGCTTCACGCTAACGGAAATTGCTTTTTTTTTCTTGTGAGGAAAAGGTCGGGATAATCTCATAGCAGGACTGAACATTATAGTAATAAAGTTTTATTCAATCACTTTAATACCTTATAATTATACACCGTGTATAATTATTTTGGGAAACATGCATTTCGCGTGGCCGAGCTTTGTAATGAATAGACAGACAGCCGGTTTTTCTGTAAAATTAAATTCGTCTGGTCTACAAGGGTCGAAGTTCAACAGGAGTTTACTGTCTTATCGATGATCGCAACGTGTCAATATTGAAATGATAATAATACGAAATTTCGCGTTTAAACGTACAACAATCCGCGGTTTAATAATGGAGTATTAGCTCTTCAAGGATGGTCATTTTTATTTTTTTATTGCTGTTTACTCCATCATCTTTTCCTACTTTATAAAATTATGTGCAACTAGAAATATCGAAAACTCTAAATTATTTAATAATTGGAAATATGCTATCATCTGTAACGGGGAAATCATTTGAAAGAGATTGATATCAAGAATTGCTCGTCGTCCTTAAAAATTCTTGGTATAATTACCTATTTACAATATCATAGCACGTATGACCGCAATGTTGATATTTGTCAAATGTTCTCAAACGAATTGCAATACAAAATAGAAATAAATTGCAATGAAATTGAGCGAGGTTGTTTTGAAACGAAAAACCGACGGTGCTCCGTGCCGCGAGGGGTTGAAACACGTATTAATTGGCAGGGGAAGAAATTTCGCGGATGGGCAGCGGAATCACGTCGTAAAAGTTTTACGGTTCGATCCGTGGACGTTCAAGCATCGCTGTAGTCGGGGCAATAAAAGTGAATTATTCTCTTGTCGCGTGGGTGGTGGCTGTGTTACGTACCATCCAGCCAGCCAGTCGACGTATAGCGCACGGCCACATTTGCACACGGTTCTCGTTCGCGTGCGCGTAAGAACGCCTTGGGTACGTGCACGCCGGATCATGCACGCGATATTTTTAGTTGTCGTGATCGCCATGATGAGAGGATTTCTTGGATAAAGGTAGCCCCCATAAGATGCGTGCCGCGCCCCGTCCACCGCGACGCATGTATAAATTCACCGCGAGCAGTTTGTACGAAAATTGACTTTTTTTACCCGAGTCATATGTTTGTTATCTAGAACAGCTTGATAGCTCGCTATAGTTAATAATTTACATTATAAAGAAACTGGAAACGTACCCTTATTAATGCATTACTTTTATTATAGTAGGTAAAAATACGCAAAACATAAAGAAGTATCAACTGAAATTTTGTACAGGGTTTTTAATATGTAATATTAAATGTACATAGTAATAAAAAATGTACTTTTAAACTGTATAGTCTTTTGATGATTATAGTATAGTAACGAGAAGCAGAAATATTTAATTTAACAATTATTTTCTTTGTTTAAGATGCACATAATGAATTTTGAAATTGAAGCATTACTCATTAGCGAGTTTGCCTTTTCCATTATTGTATACATCGTAGCATAAGGAAAAAAGATGTGGTTAGTAGTTATTTTTTAGCTGTCTATGGTTTTTCATATGAGTCCAACTTATGAGCCAAGTTAAATGAAATACGACATTCTTTGTAAAGTCTTGTTTTGTACCAAGCCAAGAACGCGTGAAGAAGAGGACGATAAAATGAGGCAAGCTGTGTCCTACATCTTGGAGAGACACAAGTAAGAGCTTGGTGAATTTTGTTCTGCCTCTTTCGTTCACTGTTATTTCTTTTTCACGGAGGTGACTATCGTAAGAGAGTAGTAGGATTGGAACGGAAACCCCAAACGGATCGTTAGAGTGCGACACTAAGGAGGGAAACCACTTAAAATTATTTTATGAAATTTTAACCGGTGGTTTAGTTAAAGTATTCCAATTGATATAAAACTTATTAATAGTGATAATAGTTACGGAAGTGAGACACTAAGGGGGTCGCCAAAATGCAAAGCGAATTAAACAAAATTATTTGCAAAATATAAGTACTTCATTCGACAATTTTTGATTGCTAAGTACCCACAAGTGATTTTTCAGACAAAATTCATTTTTGCAAAGACTCGAAATTAAATTTCAGACTGTAATAAATTGTACAGTGAAAAATAAACAGTTTTTAAACGCGGACAGTGATTTTTTATCTTGTACCAAGCAAAAATATAAAGTTAATGATTAATGGTCCGACAAAGCGCGCATAATTTGAAGGGGTCCTCGGACTCGTAAAGTTTAAGAACCACTGCGTTAATTAATTCGGATGTATAAGGTTGCACTGTACGACGATTGGCTTGCAGACAGTAAGAGGCAGTTAATTAGTCAAGAAAACTCACGTTCGCTCGCTCGTGTGTGAGTTGTACACTGACGACTTGTTTTAAGTGGAGTCAAGGGTTATTGAGACTGGACAGGGCTGGCGTTAGGTGATGTCCGACGACGACATCGGGTGATTTAGCTATTATTGGGTTGTTTTATTTGAAACTAATGGGTGAGACAACTGAGGCCAGGATTTTAGACATCCCTTAAGTCTTATAATGAGACTGCGGATCATTTTATAAAAATCAGAATGATGGAGAAATTTATTTCGTTAGTTAAAAAATGTCTTATGATAGAGATGAACAGAAAATATTATTATATTTTAAATTATATTTTCTTATATATTTTGAATTTTGAATTATATTTTCTTATATATTAGGGCTTGAAGTGCTTCATTAAATCATAATTAATTTACTTTCTTAATCCACTAATTATATTGAATACTAAATTTAATTTTATTAATAGTACAGAATATTCTTTTTCATATTAAATTTAAGTGAACATTAAGTTTGAAAAATTAATGTAACATGGTAAACGGGACAGAAGACAATTTAACAAATGGATTTCGTATTAATTCATATTAGAATATTTAATCGTTTTGTTGTTAATCTATCATAACTGATACGCAAAAGAAAAGAATGATTTCGCATGAAGAATGTGCACTGACATTGTTTCATTAAATCGCGTGCATTCGGTAATGCATTACATAAACTGTTCACTTTTTAATATTCCAACATGGTAGCCGAGCACATGGATGTAATACGTATAAGCAGTGACACAGCGCACCATTCGATGTGACGGCTGTTCAATGGAATCATTCACGTCAAATTAAATTTACCATTATAATCAGTAATTCCGCTACACTTACAAATGGAAGGGGAGATGATAATGCAATTATGAGACGAAATCAAGGACGATCGTTTTTCCAGCAGTATTAATGAATAAACGGTAATTACGTAAAACGGTAATTGAATTTATTACAGTAATCAACGATTTCCTTTTTCCGAAAAATAAAATGGAAGGTAATAATACAATTATGGAATAAAATCAACTGAAATATGTTATGTTATCATTTATATTTAATAATCATTGTATTTTTTTTTAATTTAAAAATTCTACATTCTTTTATATGTCATATAAATAAGGATAAAAAGTACATAGATTATCAAATGTGTATAAATCACATATATCAATGGTAAGAACACTTCGTTTACTAAGTAAACCAAAAACAAGTTTAGACTGATTTATAGTACACAACTACTATAATCATCGGTTACAATAATTCAATTTATCGTCGATCACTTCTCAAACACTGCAAATTATCCCAAGAAACTTTCATTCCACTGTATACCACAGAATCACGCACTTTTCAAACTCAATACTCAACATCGAAACACCCCGAAATATCATTTTCCAGACACTTCACATGTGACCCCATCTTTCTTTAAACAATTTCAAGCTCCCATTCCACGACCGCTGTGAAGAGCAAATACCTCAACAGCGGCAGATTTTTCGAACAACAGTACGTCGCTTGGTCGCGTCAGCTTCGACCGCGAACTTCCCCAAAATCAAGCTCGGTCCGCGAGAGAACGACGTGGTACGCGGCGACATTGTAAACAGGATCAAACACGGACGGTTCGATTCGTGTTCTCCCGTTCGGTACCCACACAGACAGAGACACACGTGAGAGGGAAACTGACACCAATCCTCTCCCGAGTTTTGTCCCGTGCACGCTGCGAGGGCGCGTGCGTGCCCGTCGCCCCGTTCTCCCGTGTGTACCTTACTCTACTACCCTAGTTTCACCCTTCGCTGCATCCCCCGGATTCAGGGATTTGTCCGCGCGTGTAGATACGAGCGTTCCATAGAAACGTTTTCGGTACGCTTTGGGTCGGTCAGAAACGTCATCGGGTTACGCGAGAGAGGAACTCACCACGTTGGATACGTGCCGCCATGCTTCGAGGTTCGTGCACATGATGCCCCAGTGGAGGAGCAAGTAGACGACCAGCAGGACCATCGAGAACACGAGGATCGTGGCCGTTTTGTAGTGGTACATGAAACCGGGCAACCGTCGCACGTTCATGATCCTGAGCGCCAGTTGTCTCACCCGGTAAGCCGATATCACTGCTGCCGCTAGGACACTTTTTCTTTCACCCGTAGCCTCCTCTAACGAATCCTTCGACGCGTGTTACCCCCTCGGATTCGCCGAAGTCGCGACGAATTTTTTTCCTCATCGACGATCTTCCGTTGGCCGTCGTCTCCTTCCGCGGCGGCGCATCGTGTCCTTTCTTTTCTCCTCCTGTTCTTGATTCTCCGTCGTTGCGTCCGACTAATTCGATTCGGCTCGCGAGAGAACCCACTCGCGGCGAGCCTTCTCGACCGACCGGTGTCGTACGGTTGTGCCAATGCGGCATAATCTGCGGCACATGCCAGCAGCAGCGTCGCGACGCCGCGCCTCTCGCGGCGGATCTCGCTGGGTACGCGCGCGTTGCGCAGGTCCGTCGCCAATTTCGACTTAACCACGGCCGAATTCGAATAAGACCGTTAACGCGGCGCGTGCGCACCAGGGCCTCCCTCGGAAGGGATAACACGCTGACGTGCGAAATTGGAGGATCTGAATTTTAAATAGTTGCGAATATTTGAACTGTCGTAACTTTGCGAATAAAAATTGTACGACAGTCATTTTGGGCTCGTTATAAAACAAAGTATCTACTTTTGGAATCCGTAATTAGTATTTTTTTCAAATAGATTTTTATATCATGTGGAGGGTTGAGATGCATAGTGTATTTTAGGTTGTTCAGGTACCGGTAGCACACTTTTAGTACAAATAAAGGTGAAAAGTTGTACGTCAACTTTTAGAAAGTCGTTTATGATGGGAATATAAATTTTTCACTTTTAAGATGGCGTGAAATGTTTTTGAGAAAACTAAGAGAGGCTTCTGAAGAAAGACACTCCTTCATGTTCTAGAATGTGTCCAGAATGATTGCCGTATAATCTTTTTTCGTCAAGTTATACAACAGTTACTCGCAATATCACGATATGAACGCCATATTAAAAAGAAAAACGACAAACCCTGTTGGCTAATCTAATATTAGAACTGTCGGGAAATTATAATTTCTTTTTTCTCTCATGGCTCTGATTTATAACAGGACGTAAGTATTTTAAACTTAATTCGATACTTCCGACTGCTCGTCTGTTTTGAAAGACCTGATCCATTTCTTTGTTAGAGATTAGGTATTAGAAAAATTCTAATTTCGGGAATCTTTAGGTCTTTGAGAGATTTATTTCATATAAATGTATTCTTTTATTCTGGAGTGATGTCAATTTCGAAATTTATTCCTGTAGTGGCAGTAGTATATTGAATAATATTTATTTCATTGGTATTGGATATATTTCTATCGGTTTTAAAATATTATATTCCACGGTAGCATACCTACCTACATACTTAACCAAATTTCTGCATTTAACGATTACGTCACTGCACGATTAGATCATATAACATCAATTAGTGAAGGTCAGTTCAATGGAACGTACACAATAATATCAAGCGAGAAATAATTATTAGATAAACGCTTTGCATTCACATGTGGCGTCCACTATGTCCACTAATGTCTAACTGCATCAGCTATCACAGGATTTTTTGCTGGTGTTAAGCTTATAAGCTCGTAGAATTTATGTCATGCGAACGAGCGTATAGTTGGACCAAACTTTGTTGGCCCGTAAATGCTACTGAACGTTGTACCCTCCATTTTTCTCAATTGTATACCTATTTCATTTTCATTCTACTTGGTTGACGAGATAAATTAGGCTGCTACACAATTAGTTAATATATTATTTTTTTGTTCTTTAAAAAGAGATGAGAAATACAGTGATATAAGAGATGAGATCGTGATACGTGAATGAGAATAGAGGCTCTTTCAACGACCAGTTGATTTTGTTCTGACTGTAACTTCTAATTCAGAGTCTAGCTGGTGCTGCCTCCAGGACTATATCGTGAAATAGATATAACTCCTAAAAGTGTACGATCGATGCAAAAATCAGTCAGAACTTTTTGCAAACTTTTCGAAAATTAGGTCTCTCAATATGTACATATTTTGAATCAAACATTCATTTTGTAACAATTACTGAAACTTAAAATAACATTTTAGTCAGTTTTTATTAGCATGCTAAAGACAGTTTTAAAATGTGCACATCTTTTAAAATTGCACAAATCAATTGTAAAACTGATCAATTTGGAACAATAATTTGATTTCAAATCCATTATTTTTGTTTTTGAAAATATTGAGTAATAAAGGGATTTCTCGACGTCCATGTACAATCGTTTATACGTCCGAATTAGTATTCTGCATATTTAACATTACATACTTTTCCAAAAATTTTAATTTAAATCTCAATTACACATTATATTATACTCCAGTTAATTATACGATAAAGTAACACCATGATTTATTATGGGTAACTTATGTTCAGGAATAAAGGCGGTTCTAAAATGGATCGTGCAACAAAAGTTTTTACCTCATTT